CACATAGCGAAGGTGTTGTAGCTACTACGGGAGCTGTTGTTCCACCCCCAAGTATGAGGTCGTCCAGCGTTTTCTTCACGTCAGCCATTACGTTTTCAACCCGATTGTTTACTTGGTCGATTCGGGTTTCAGCTTCCGACTGGCGGTTGTCATGTTGAGCAACCTTATCCTTCACCTCCCGTATCTCTTTTCCGAAGATAGCGTAAAGGTCCTTCATGAGGAGCATCTGCTCTTCCTTATCGCGTTGGAGTTGCTCTTCTAAACGACGGGCTTGTTCCTCCTGCCGACGGGCCTGTTCCTCCTGCCGGCGGGTCTGTTCCTCCTGCCGGCGGGCCTGCTCCTCCTGTCCGCCCCGCAGTTGCTCTTCCAATCGGCGGGCCTGTTCCTCCTGTCCGCCCCGCAGCTGCTCTTCCAAACGACGGACCTGTTCCTCCTGTCGGCGCGCCTGTTCCTCCTGTCGGCGGGCCTGTTCCTCCTGTCGGCGAGCCTGTTCCTCCTGTCGGCGAGCCTGCTCCTGCAGCATCACCATCAGAGCACCTAAGTCAGGTGCTGCGGATGTAGGAGCTACTGACGGGCCTGCAGCCGGCGGCTGGCCCTCCGACGTCTGCGGCGTTGCACCACCAAATCTTCTTTGGTCCGTCTCCTGCTGGCGTTGACTTCGGGTACGGACACCCTCCGTTTCCTCCTTAGGTAAAATCGGCATGATTTTATCCCACTTCTGATAATACGTTACACAATCCTTAAAAAATTTACTGAAATTGATTCTTTACCCATTTTGTTTTAACCTTTCTAACACTGCTCTCAATTTTGCTAAATGGGTAGTTTTATCCTTTCCAGTTACACATAATATATCATCTGCAAATACAGCCGTTGAAGGCAATCCACTCAATGTTTCCTCCATAATCTTTTAAAAGTTTTCAGGAATACATTTTATTCCAAAAAGTACTCTTTTGTAAATAAACGTCCCGATATGAGTGGTAATTTCTATCAGCGGCTGTGATTTTTTATCTAATAAACATTGTTGGAACGCATTTGATAAATCAAGTTTTGTGTACTGTTCGCCGCCCACCAAGGTCGCAAAAGTTCTTCAATCCGCGGTAAAGGATAATGAAAATCTTTTAAAATCGGATTTATTGCTATTTTATAATCCCCACATATTCTGATTGAGCCATTGGATTTAATAACAGGGACAATAGGCGTACCGTATTCTGACCTTTCGACTTTTTAAATAACCCCTTCGTATTCTAACCGTTTGAGTTCGCTTTCGACTCGCGGGCGCAGTGCCAATGGCAGTGGCCGAGCCTTCACAAACACAGGAGTTTCAACCTTGAGGTGCAGCGATACAGGTGACTTGAATGTACCTAAACCTTCTGCAAACACTTCAGGGAATTCGTCTCTCAAAGCTTTTGCTACCGACTCAGAGTCGCTAATATTGTGACATTCAACAATTTCTATTTTCAATTTCTTAACCCACGTACGGCCCAGTGGACCGCCGTTTTCAATAATAAATAACTTAAGCATCGCCGACTTTGAACCACAGATAACCATTATCACAATATAACCGATGGTCTCGATAACGTCGCCAATATATGATCTGTCATCCACTCTTTTTATATATGTGCTTTGTACATATAAACATAAATAAAAACAAACAACAATAAAATAGTAGTAAAACACAGCACTGCTCTCCATCCTAATGACGACACTGTCACGACTGGATGACAATGGCGTAGCTGACCTTCCTTTTTGAAACATTCTTAGAATGTTGTGTATCGATTTCAAAATCGATCTTACCGAAATATACAGACATCAATTCATAATATTTTATGTGTCGGGGAAGGCGTAGGCCAAGTGAAGCACAGAAGAAAAGTCTTACACTCTTATGACAATGGGGATTTGATATGATGCTGATACTTGCTAGATGATTTTGAGACTGAGAAAGAAAATGGCACAACACAAAATGAAAAATTGCTCTTCACACCTTAAGTAAAAAAAAACATTAATTGTAATTTTGTATTATTTTTAAAAAAAGGTCCATAATTATTCATTAATCAACAATTGTATATAATTATTCGCACTAGGTAAATCAGCCTTATAATATTAAAATCTTGGTCATGGAATAAATAAACATAATTGTTCACCAATCAATCAAAAATTCAATTCATCAATCAAAAAACAAAATTCATCATCATCGACGCTTTCCAAAATCCGAATGAGTTCTGAAGAATCGTTCATGTTGCATTGCTCTACTTTTCTCGGTAATCACTTATGACATCATTAGGGTGTCGTCTATCCTTGATCACGGTGCCCAGTGAACTGATTTGCGATGACGCGCTAAAGATGCGCTAGAGTTGAGATATTAGATTTATTATGTGAAGGTGATCTGATAACATTTTTTTATTCATGTAGCTAATTATAGTTTTATGTTTTTAACCTTTAATTTTATTCAAATATCAATAATAATAGAAAAAAAACACCATTGAGCTGAATTTTGGATAGTTTTCAAGAAATCTATGCTTCCCGCGTTTGACACTAGCGATCAACCATAGACGACTTTGGCGTGCTGGACATAGTATTTGCTTAGATAAAAATCAATTTTTATTAGTTCAATGTTTCTTAGTACTTGTGGCTCTAGAAGACTTGTTTTTTATACTCACATGTTGCTGGGTTATTCCTATTTTGAGGAGTGTATAATTAAAATACCTGTAATAATTTTCCAATATCTATATTTCATTTTTTGAGAGCCGGGTTTTTTGTCAACTATAGACGTCGTTGGCGCTCAGGGCCCGCAGGTGTTGGTCAAGTATAGGCGACTTTGGCGCTCAAAAGGTTAAAGGATTCATGGTAAATCAGCTGGAAACTAACTTGTTTCGTTATCATAACATGATTCTATTTTAAATGTATTGTTATAAACAGATAAGAATAACTTAACAGATCTTCTTTGAAAACAGATAAGAATAACAGTTCTTATCTGTTTTCAAAGAAGATCGGTTAAGATTAACAGTTAAATTGTGCCGTAGCGTTTTATTACTCTCTAAAGAATTCATTGGAAATCAGCTAGTAATTCGCTTGTTTTATTATCATAACATAATAATTATTTAAAAATTATATTAGCACTGTAATGATGACACCGTAAATAATCGATCGAAAAAGAGAATCGATTTTTTAAATGTGTTTTGCGATTGGCAACACTTTTTTTTATTCACAAACTTACTTTTCACGTACTTTTAATTTGTGCAAAAATTTCCCATTGTTTGAGGATAAATGAATACCGCGATTAATAACCATAAATAAAGATATAATTTTTTAACAAATGTACATTGTTGGGCGTTCCATGGCCGAAAATGGGCAATGCTCTTTATGTGTCATTAATTACAAAAAGAGAATTTATAAGCTACATATTTATGTGTTTTCAAAATGTCTCTACAATTTGACAATTGAGTTTCAAAACGTTTTTGATGAATGTTGCCAATGGTTTTTGATATACAACGGTTATTGGTAAAGAGCGTGTGTAACTCTTACCCAAAGCTTAAACAATGTATAAGTACACACTTGTTAAACAGATGTTTTAGATATTTTTATTGGTAAGACTGTTAGAATTGAACTCTGTTATGTAATCATTTCCAACATTAAAAGTAATTTTTTAAAGCACTAACGTCGTCATATCGCCTTGCTTGACATTTTTAACTATCTCCCTCAATTTGGTTTATAAGCTCCAATTTCAATAATTTGTGAGCTATTCGCATAGTTGATGCCTCAAAAGAAAGAACAATAACCAGGCATGTTTTAAAAAATGTTTGAACGAAAACAACACCATCCGTATTTTTTTAATGCCGTCAAATAACAGCTTTCCTCAATCTTTAAATAAATTTTAAAAACTTTTGTTGACTTCAAATATCTGTAAAAAAACTTATCTCATGACACAGATGCCTGAACCATATTACATAAGACTGTTTACACATTACTTTAATAAAATAAAATAAAAAGAAAATTAATTTGTCTTTCAAACTGGCCACGATTTACAACTAAATCCAAAATTTTGGGTTTTGTCATTAAAAATCATTAAAGCTTGATAAAAATAAAATAGCCGCACTTCGTAAAAATCTCCCTGATCGACAATAACCTGTATACATGCTTTTTCAGTAGAATCAGCTCTTTTTCAAAATCTTTTATTAAATGTTCTATTTCTACAGCTTTGGTTTCTTTCACATTTTTAACAGATTTCATGTGTTTTCTGTCTTTAGTATATCTGTTCTCTTTCCTAGTCCATTCACTTAACCTTAACTCACTAACCTTATTTTTAGTTAATTGTAAAATTCAATAATTTCCGGTTTTTTGGAGCCGTTGCTAATAGCAGGTTGGCCATGAGTCGTAGATAGAATGTATACGACTTTATTTGATTTTGGTTTGTATGAGACTAAAGTCATATCTCTGTCAAAGCCGAACATCTAAGTGCCTACTGGTCTATTTTTGTTGTTCTGCATTTCTTTCGGGATCTCACGTTTATTGCTTCGCAATGTACCCACGACTGTCAGCTTATAAGGCGGTTTTAGCAATTTTGTGGCCAGGGTAACTGACGTAAACCAGTTGTCCATTGTGATATTCTGATTTGATGCATATATGGGTTTAGCTATCTCTTTTACAAAATAACTAGCCAATCGTTCGTTACCGGTGTTAGTATTTTTTTCTAGATAGGTATAGCGTTGCACATATATTTCGTATTACAATCCGCCATCATAACCAGTTTCAAACCATATTTGTTCGGTTTATTGGGGATGTACATCCTGAAAGGGTAGCGTCCTATAAAACAAAGAAGTTGTTAATCTATCGTAATGTGTGAACCTAGCTTGTACCATTGCTGACAGTTATCTATAAATTTTTTTCAGAAATCTCTAATGGGAGCCAGTTTGTCAGATACCCTTCTTTGTTTCCTTGTGTTTTTATCGTCAAATCTCAAGCATCTTAGTAAAAATACAAACCTTTCAGCACTCATGCAGCTCTTATAGGTGTTTGCGCTTCTTTTTTGTGTCAAATAACATCCGAGTTGGCAAATGGTTACTTTTCAGGGCAGCAGATTGAATAAGTAGACCCAGTAAAGCCTTGATTTCATTAGCCGACGTCTGAGAAGTAGTGAATTTTGAAAGTTTGTACTTATTATTCTTTATATCAATATCTGCGTTTGTAAATTGCACGAAGGCATCGATCATTTCTTCCGTCACAAAAAGCTGAAATAGTTCCCTTGGCTCCGAGACCTCTTTAGCCAATCCAGAAGGACCAGGTACGATATGTATCACATTACGACTACTTGTACGTGTGCGCGGGTCACGAGGATTTGTTGACCATCTGTGTCGGTTCTTACCGTACAAGTTACGCTGGCTCGGCTGAATAACTGTCGGATGTAATTGCGGTACTTATGTTTGAGTATTGATCCGTGTTTATAGTATCATCATCGGAATTTAACACTGACCTTCGATTACGCCCGCGACGTGAAACTAACAATTCGTCCCCCGAAGAGTCTTAAGCTTCTTCCTCACTTTCCTCAGAAGGGACATGTACTTCCGTCTCAACATTATTCTCTTCCTCAGAATCGGATGAATGAGATTAATTGTCGGGTAAAGATTCTGTTACGGCCCTGAGTTACCCCGACAAGGTCGATTGAGCTAGGGCCCACAGTAGCCCAATTCGACGAGTAACAAAGGGGAGAGTCCAATGACCTATGAATAATTAAATTATAAAGGTTAGAGTTGCGTAACACAAAACTAACCGAATTCCAGAAGTGTAGGGTCTACCACAAGGCGTTCTCTCGATAAAGTAAAAGTCTTATCACGCTATCAAACAACGCACTAATAACTCGTGGTTGCAATTAACGGCATAAAAGTTTCTTTAATCACTCTAAACTCAAATTAGGCCTCTTGTCATGTAACACGTTCAAAACAGACAACTAAATTCGAGGCGGTCTAGACTAGACCCAAATATTCAATAGTAAATTCAAAATGGCGCGCACAATTAACTTACATTTTAGGCCTTCAATCAAAACAACCGTATACCAGTCACAAACAATACTTAAACGGTTACAACAGTAATTATATTATTCCGGCCTCGTTATCACGAAAACAAATTAAGATAACAGAGTAAGGCTCGACGTTCAATGCAACTATTATTAACGCCCGACGTTTAACCGGCATGGCTGTAGCCCTCCAAAGTTCCTGCCGACTGGGGCGCTTGCTGTGCCGTACGCACGCTGAGCCCCTGCCTCCCGCGCAACGCCAACCGTTTTCTCACCCCGCTCGAGACGCGAGTCTGGCAAGCTTCAAATGACACAACTTGTACAATCATGCGTAAACAAACCCCCGTCCCGGACATAATGACCTATGTCCGGAAGTAAATTGGCAATCGGGATAGGGCCGCGACGGCACGTTGCAAGACCGAATCTCCAACCAAAATCTCGGCCACTAGCGCGAAGGAGATGCGCTCTTGCAACCCCAACCACCGACTCAAATCACCGCCCTAGCGTGGGCAAGCCGGAGAGTCGAATTTCCCTTGGATGCTCTTCTTGGATATCGCAGTACCTAAATAAGTCCTGTTTCTGAACAGAAATTCGACGACCTCCTTCAAATATCTATCCGTGCCCCTACAATTCGTTCCGCAATCCGACCGGATCCGGTCTGGCAAACCGCGACGCGATAAGAAGCGACCCAGCGTGGCCATAAGACTTCAGTGCAGAAGGCGCTTGCAAGTTTCAAGCGAACGGCCCTAGTGGCGAGGCATACGAAAAGCACAGATAGGCCCGATGTGAACGCGCGTGGCGTAGGTCGGAGGGCTTGACGAGGAGGGGGGGCCAGCGAAGTCGGTTCCGACTCCAGCGGATGGTCGGATGACTCTGACGTGGTCGGGTGGTAAGTCACCCATCATCGGCTGCGGTATGGTGGCCTTCAATCTACCACAAAGTATGTTCCCAAGAGTGACGCTCCGAATAGTGCGTCGGCCAGACAAATTCCTAAACTCCCGCTGCAAATTAACCGCATTCCGATGATGATGGTGAGTTATCAGCGACCAAGCACAATAATAAACACAAGAAAAACAAAACAAAAAAAAACACAACAACAAACCAAAAAACAAAGTAACAAATCTTAGGAGCTACTTCGAAAAAATATAAAATGTCACAAACTCTGACAGTAAGCTCTACTAAGAATCGTTAAACACATCCAATTTCTATTCATCTTCTACTTGATAGGTGTACGCGCACAATTAATCTATATACAACGTGAAGCGATCTCCACCTTCCTGCAGGTAGTGCAGGAATGTGGTATAACTATGGGTCTGGGTGGTGTATGTGTATATATAGTGTGGGTATGGGTATACATAGGGTCTTCGCAGCCTCATATACCGTCAATTGATAGGCCGGTATGGGGCTTTCATCATCTCCAGCAATCGAGGCTCCGCTGGAAAAGAGACCAGCGATGATTGCATTGATAGTGAGGATAGTATGGTTGGCCTCGCTTGTTATTCTTGTTGCTTTCTTAATGGCCCCACTCACCTGAACGCCATCTAGGAAGTAACGTCTTCCGAATTCAAGGAGTCTGCGCGATCTCCAAGATTCCGGCACCTTGATGACAATACCAGATTTTGTACATGTTTCTTCCAACACCTGGAGAAACTGCACAGTGTATTCGTCGGGGGTTAGATTACGCTCCCTCAAGTACTGCTTGGATGGGATCCTGAGCACAATCACCTGATTGTCTCCCTGTACAAGTAAGGAAGCGGTGGTGTCACATTTGTAAGCCGCTAACAGGATGATCATGATTGAAGCTAGAGTCCATCCCTTCTGCCGCAATCCTTCAAGCCATGCCTCAGGACCATGCACGCAGCGGGCTCCCTCAATCGGTTCACCAGAGGAACTCTGGTCAGGGGGGGCGTACCTATCCTGAAACAATAACTTTGAAATCAAGGGGAATCTGTGTGTAAACTGGTACAAGTTAGAGACACCAAACAGATCGTCTAGAGCCCGAAAGAGAGGGTCAACAAGTTCAGATCGAAAATGAGTGCACCATGAGGAGAAATCGATCACAATGTAGATGTAATCGTGGTCTCCTCCTGGGCAACTCATCCTATTCAGTGTTTTGGTAAGCTGCTCTTCGCTGAGAGTCATGGACTGGTGTTTAATATACTTAAATATAGTCTCAGCAATGTTGGACTCTGTGACAACTTGGTATGCCGTCATCTCGAAGGTCATCTTACCAAAACACCGTGCATCAGTCTGCTTGAACTCCCTCTCTTTCGGGACCGCAACCATGATCCTCCACTCTTCAGGAATGATTCCTCTGTCGATCAGACCAATTATCTTAGGGCAGTCAAAGGATTCACTCATTAAAAAGTGAATGATCACGCTCTTTGAGGTGGGAGCAGGACCTGAGGGAAACCTCCCATGGATCGTCCGGAATGCTTTCGTGTCATACTCATAGATCCACTCTGTTGCACGCGGTATGATGGCTTTGTCGGAGATGATGTCTATTGTGTCGACATGATGATTGAACTCGAAGTTTTTCAGGAGTCTGATGTGAGAGAACTCTTTCGGGTCCCATTTTAGAGTTCATGTCTCCCCCCACTCATTCTCTAGTATACACGTTCGGATGTGAGGATTTAGTTTGAAACCTAGTGATACGGCAGGCCATTTGTTATGGCTCTTATAAAACTGTCTGCAAAACTCCTTCTTAAACATGTTACAGATGTCCTCTGCAGCTTCTCCTAGGTCCTGTTTCATAACGAGTCCTTTATTCATCCAGGACTTGGTAGTCTCATCCATGTCCACTATCGGGTGACCCATGGTTTTCCATAACCCTATGATGTCTAGTCTGATCATGGCGTGGGTGGGCCCCATTATGGTGCTGACTTCATGCTTGTAAAAGTCAGTTGCCTTTAAAGAGAAAGGAAGATCTTGAGTTATTGTTTTTAGAAATTCATCAGAGTGCTCTAAGTCTCTTAAAATTGCTCCTATAGCGAGGGATGGCCACATCTTCAAAAGCTTATATGCTAACTGCCCATGTTGAACTAGCATGAATCTCATACGATCTAAGCACTCTCTCACTTCTATGTTTAAAGAGTACCCTGGGTATTTGTTGTTGTAAAGTGTAGAGTATATGTGTACAGCAGCCCATGACGAGCACATGTCCGCAAAACAAAGTATTAGTGAGTAGGGAACAACATAGCACTGGTTAGTCTTCACCCATACTATGCACAGATCTGCATCAAAAACCACTTGGACAGATCCTATCTTTACTTCCATGCGTGCTTGTGACGACTGGGAGACTTCTTCAATCACGGATTCCCACACAGATGAGAGATGTTCATATATGTGAGAGGTGGGCAGTTGAGTCATAAGTATATCAGGAGGAGGTGTCTTGTAGTAGTGGGTATAAGCCACCTGTGTGACATAGGACGCAACCCTCTCTGCCCTCTTGCTTATCTCTAAGTGGTCTCGATCTTTGTCCCTCCACCTTTCCAGATTAGAACAACACCATGATAGGAATGTCTCGGGTGGTAGCATAGTCGCATCCTTGATATCGTGGATTATCCTCTTGTGGTGCGGCCTGAGTGCCTTTGAGTTGTCTTTATGGCGTATCATGTAATCTACCTCTTGAAGCTCCGATTCAATACTTTATAATTTGCGATGGTAGGATCCCAGGTATACGAGTATAAGCCTTGCCTTAGTTTAGCGATTTCGGAATCCTGCTTGGAAAATTGTTCAATATCGTTGAGCGATACGGCTACGGGTCTTGAGTATTGAGAATTATGTTTAGAAGTACAAAGTCTTGAAAGGGGGTCAGCTATATTCGATTTACCTGGTCGGTGCACTATTTTGTAATTATAGGCTTGCAATTGAAGAACCCATCTTTCGATTCGGGCGCAAGGCTTAGACCTTCTTCCGAAAATAATTTCTAATGGTTTATGATCGCTTATCAGTTCAAACTCACTTTTACCATAAAGATATATTTTCGAAAATGTTCTACAGCCCATACTAAGGCTAGCGCTTCCTTTTCAGTTTGGCAGTAACGCTTTTCACAGTCTGTTAAACTCTTGTTTCCAAATGCTATTACTTTAGGTCCTTAAGAATTAATTTGGATAAGCCCCGCCCCTAACCAAACAGGACTAGCATCGGCAATAACTTGGGTCTTGTCTGCCGGATCATAATATCCTAATGACTGCATACTGCGTAGAGCTTTCTTCATTTTGTAAAATGCGTTTTCCTGGTCTGTAGTCCAAAATTTTCCAATGTCGGCATGTTTTCCCAGCTTTAGCGTTAGTATTTTCCGGAACGGCTCAGTGAGTGTCGCCAAATTTATCTTTAAATTTTGGAAATGCTGCTATATTTTTATGTGATGTGGACTCGACGGCGTTTACACTGACACCTAATCGCAGAACGCCCAGTGCTAAGGACGTTACTTTCCCCAAGGTATCTTTAGTGCCAGTTTTTTATCACATAGAAAACAGCAACCTCAATTTTGTCATTGACCTGGACACGAGTTTTAAACGATGCCAAAATATTTAGTGGCTTAGCGCTACCATAGGCGTAAAATGTTTTATCCGGTGATCTATCTATGTAAAACATTTATTTTATTCCTCTTTCTTAACAAATTACATTTACATCCGGAATCGATCAATAATGACGTCTTGACACCACCTACCAAACAATTAATATTAGTGTCCTCATCTATATGAAAAACATAATCGATTTCTTCCTTTTCGTCCCTCCTTGCTTTTTTTGTGACGGTAGGATCATTTGAACTTGAAAATTGTCTTTTAGATAGCCTTCCTGTCAAACAATAATTCCGAAAGTGTCCCGTTATACCACATTTATGGCATTTAATTTTCCTTGCGGGACATTCTATTGATTGAGGCATATGCTTAAAGCTCCCACACCTATTACACGATTTGTTAAACATCTTTCTTCTGTTTTTTACGAAGTTCACTAGAGTAACACTTTTCTGTAATTTGATCGATAATGCTTTCGTCCTTATTTGCAAAACCACATTTATCAGCCTGTTTTCTTAATCTAATTAAAAATTTCTCAAACTTTTCTCCAGATTCCTATTTCATTAGCCGAAATAAGTGTCTCTGATATACTTTGCTTTGTTTTGGAGCAAAGTACTCGTCTAACTTTTCAATAGCTATAACATAAACATCCTTCGTTGGATCATCTATACTGCTAACATGGGCTCCTGGTATATTATAGTATATTTCTTGGAGACTAAGGCCACCCATGTGTAATAATGTAGCTCGTTTTTTTGCGGGTAGTTCAATATTTGCAGCTTCTAGATAAATGTCCAATCCTCGCTTCCACTTCTCCCATTTTGCGCCAACACCATGAGAATCCCCATCACAATCAAATGATTCTAGTGGGGGTAGTGACATTTTTTTTAATCTGCAAGAAAGGAAATATACAAGCAGATATTGAACACCATATTTTGTTACCTTTTCTAATAAAACGGGAAAATTTCGAATGCACGCAGCATTACAATTAAAACAGTGACCAATATCTCTTTTAATTACGTGTCTATTGTTAGACCGTCACGCAATTACATTCTCACGACATCTCAGCCTTTGACAATTTAAACCATTTTCTGGTACCTAAAGCATGTCCATGACTGGACCTCGCTTTAGTAAAACTTGGACCGTCACCAATAAGTGTCCATGCATCTGCACCGTCTCATTGGGTGTCCATTTGATTTTAACAAAGATAAATCACGATAATTCAGCCTTTAATAATTTAAACCATTTTCTGGTACCTAAAGCATGTCCATGACTGGACCTTCGCTTTAGTAAAACTTGGACCGTCACCAATAAGTGTCCATGCATCTGGACCGTCTCATTGGGTGTCCATTTGATTTTAACAAAGATAAATCACGACAATTCAGCCTTTAATAATTTAAACCATTTTCTGGTACCTAAAGCATGTCCATGACTGGACCTTCGCTTTAGTAAAACTTGGACCGTCACCAATAAGTGTCCATGCTCCTGGACCGTCTCATTGGGTGTCCATTTGATTTTAACAAAGATAAATTACGACTACTCAGCCTTTAATTATATAAACCGTTTTCTGGGACCTAAAGCATGTCCATGACTGGACCTTTACTTTAGTAAATCTTGGACCATCACCAATAAGTGTCCATTGCTCCTGGACCATCTCATTAGGGTGTCTATTTGATTTTAACAAAGATAAATCACGGCATAAACAATTAAACTGCTATTGCTAATTGTCCCCAACTTTAGGCTCCGCATTATAACCTATCTTTTAAAAGAGAATACATCAAATCCTTACATAAAACTTTTCCAGTTTATTTAAAAACATTTGTAATTACTTACAGTATTTTTTCCTCGTCGCCAATATACAATACGTTGCTTTGTTTTGTACAATTTACACTGTATCACTTATTACACAATGTCACTAACACACTTTACACGGTACACACCTAACGGTTATACGTGTTAACAGAGATGTTGTCTGCTCGCCGGTTACAATGCAACTGCCCGATGTTCCCAAAGCGGGGGGTATTTATACACTAGTAGCGATGACTCATTAGACGATTGTCTACACTACAAACACCATCCGTATTTTTTTAATGCCGTCAAATAACAGCTTTCCTCAATCTTTAAATAAATTTTAAAAACTTTTGTTGACTTCAAATATCTGTAAAAAAACTTATCTCATGACACAGATGCCTGAACCATATTACATAAGACTGTTTACACATTACTTTAATAAAATAAAATAAAAAGAAAATGATTTGTCTTTCAAACTGGCCACGATTTACAACTAAATCCAAAATTTTGGGTTTTGTCATTAAAAATCATTAAAGCTTGATAAAAATAAAATAGCCGCACTTCGTCTAAGACAAGTTGGGTTCAAATGGTTCTAAATAGCCTATACTAGCTCCGCTTTACCGCTTTGCATCGACCTTTCAAATACCCTGTATACATGCTTTTTCAGTAGAATCAGCTCTTTTTCAAACTCTTTTATTACATGTTCTATTTCTACAACTTTGGTTTCTTTCACATTTTTGATTTTGATTTGATTTTCAGATTTCACATGAAATCTGTTAAAAATGTGAAAGAAGTAGAGTAGTAAGTGACTTAGCGGTCAGCCGCCGTAGAGTCTATATTTCCTAATGATGCCTCGTGTAGAGGCGAAACACGTGTCGTATTATCGTCGATGGTGTGTCTTGCCTGGAATATTGGTGTTGAGAGTAGTGGTGCTTGGTCTAGTGGTGACGGAGTTAGTGTATGCAATTGAGGGAAGGGCGGGAGGTGCCCTTCAATCCAGGTAAGACACATCATTTTATATGTTTAGCGGAAAGTTGCAAAGAAATTTATATTTTTATTTTTTATTAAAGTGAAGTGTGTTAGTGACATTGTGTAATAAGTGATACAGTGTAAATTGTACAAAACAAAGCAACGTATTGTATATTGGCGACGAGGAAAAATACTGTAAGTAATTACAAATGTTTTTAAATAAACTGGAAAAGTTTTATGTAAGGATTTGATGTATTCTCTTTTAAAAGATAGGTTATAATGCGGAGCCTAAAGTTGGGGACAATTAGCAATAGCAGTTTAATTGTTTATGCCGTGATTTATCTTTGTTAAAATCAAATAGACACCCTAATGAGATGGTCCAGGAGCAATAGACACTTATTGGTGATGGTCCAAGATTTACTAAAGTAAAGGTCCAGTCATGGACATGCTTTAGGTCCCAGAAAACGGTTTAAATTATTAAAGGCTAAGTTGTCGTAATTTATCTTTGTTAAAATCAAATGGACACCCAATGAGACGGTCCAGGAGCATGGACAAAAGCATATTGGTGCGGTCCAAGTTTTACTAAAGCGAAGGTCCAGTCATGGACATGCTTTAGGTACCAGAAAATGGTTTAAATTATTAAAGGCTGAATTGTCGTGATTTATCTTTGTTAAAATCAAATGGACACCCAATGAGACGGTCCAGATGCATGGACACTTATTGGTGACGGTCCAAGTTTTACTAAAGCGAAGGTCCAGTCATGGACATGCTTTAGGTACCAGAAAATGGTTTAAATTATTAAAGGCTGAATTGTCGTGATTTATCTTTGTTAAAATCAAATGGACACCCAATGAGACGGTCCAGATGCATGGACACTTATTGGTGACGGTCCAAGTTTTACTAAAGCGAGGTCCAGTCATGGACATGCTTTAGGTACCAGAAAATGGTTTAAATTGTCAAAGGCTGAGATGTCGTGAGAATGTAATTGCGTGACGGTCTAATAATAGACACACGTAATTAAAAGAGATATTGGTCACTGTTTTAATTGTAATGCTGCGTGCATTCGAAATTTTCCCGTTTTATTAGAAAAGGTAACAAAATATGGTGTTCAATATCTGCTTGTATATTTCCTTTCTTGCAGATTAAAAAAAAATGTCACTACCCCCACTAGAATCATTTGATTGTGATGGGGATTCTCATGGTGTTGGCGCAAAATGGGAGAAGTGGAAGCGAGGATTGGACATTTATCTAGAAGCTGCAAATATTGAACTACCCGCAAAAAAACGAGCTACATTATTACACATGGGTGGCCTTAGTCTCCAAGAAATATACTATAATATACCAGGAGCCCATGTTAGCAGTATAGATGATCCAACGAAGGATGTTTATGTTATAGCTATTGAAAAGTTAGACGAGTACTTTGCTCCAAAACAAAGCAAAGTATATGAGAGACACTTATTTCGGCTAATGAAACAGGAATCTGGAGAAAAGTTTGAGAAATTTTTAATTAGATTAAGAAAACAGGCTGATAAATGTGGTTTTGCAAATAAGGACGAAAGCATTATCGATCAAATTACAGAAAAGTGTTACTCTAGTGAACTTCGTAAAAAAAAATTTTAAAAGGTGGTGACAAAATGACATTAGAAGATATCATAATAGAAGCCAATACTTTAGAAAGTGTGAATAGACAGATGGATGAATTTACTCACAACTCCGCATGTAATAGCAGTACCGTGAATAAAATTGACAACAGAAGAAAGATGTTTAACAAATCGTGTAATAGGTGTGGGAGCTTTAGGCATATGCCTCAATCAATAGAATGTCCCGCAAGGAAAATTAAATGCCATAAATGTGGTATAACGGGACACTTTCGGAATTATTGTTTGACAGGAAGGCTATCTAAAAGACAATTTTCAAGTTCAAATGATCCTACCGTCACAAAAAAAGCAAGGAGGGACGAAAAGGAAGAAATCGATTATGTTTTTCATATAGATGAGGACACTAATATTAATTGTTTGGTAGGTGGTGTCAAGACGTCATTATTGATCGATTCCGGATGTAAATGTAATTTGTTAACCGATGTCATGTGGAGAAAACTAAAGAGGAATAAAATAAATGTTTTTGACATAGATAGATCACCGGATAAAACATTTTACGCCTATGGTAGCGCTAAGCCACTAAATATTTTGGGATCGTTTAAAACTCATGTCCAAGTCAATGACAAAATTGAGGTTGCTGTTTTCTATGTGATAAAAAACGGCACTAAAGATACCTTGGGGAAAGTAACGTCCTTAGCACTGGGCGTTCTGCGATTAGGTGTCAGTGTAAACGCCGTCGAGTCCACATCACATAAAAATATAGCAGCATTTCCAAAATTTAAAGATAAATTTGGCGACACTCACTGAGCCGTTCCGGAAAATACTAACGCTAAAGCTGGGAAAACATGCCGACATTGGAAAATTTTGGACTACAGACCAGGAAAACGCATTTTACAAAATGAAGAAAGCTCTACGCAGTATGCAGTCATTAGGATATTATGATCCGGCAGACAAGACCCAAGTTATTGCCGATGCTAGTCCTGTTGGGTTAGGGGCGGGGCTTATCCAAATTAATTCTTAAGGACCTAGAGTAATAGCATTTGGAAACAAGAGTTTAACAGACTGTGAAAAGCGTTACTGCCAAACTGAAAAGGAAGCGCTAGCCTTAGTATGGGCTGTAGAACATTTTCGAATATATCTTTATGGTAAAAGTGAGTTTGAACTGATAAGCGATCATAAACCATTAGAAATTATTTTCGGAAGAAGGTCTAAGCCTTGCGCCCGAATCGAAAGATGGGTTCTTCAATTGCAAGCCTATAATTACAAAATAGTGCACCGACCAGGTAAATCGAATATAGCTGACCCCCTTTCAAGACTTTGTACTTCTAAACATAATTCTCAATACTCAAGACCCGTAGCCGTATCGCTCAACGATATTGAACAATTTTCCAAGCAGGATTCCGAAATCCCTAAACTAAGGCAAGGCTTATACTCGTATACCTGGGATCCTACCATCGCAAATTATAAAGTATTGAATCGGAGCTTCAAGAGGTAGATTACATGATACGCCATAAAGACAACTCAAAGACACTCAGGCCGCACCACAAGAGGATAATCCACGATATCAAGGATGCGACTATGCTACCACCCGAGACATTCCTATCATGGTGTTGTTCTAATCTGGAAAGGTGGAGGGACAAAGATCGAGACCACTTAGAGATAAGCAAGAGGGCAGAGAGGGTTGCGTCCTATGTCACAAAGGTGGCTTATACCCACTACTACAAGACTCTTCCTCCTGATATACTTATGACTCAACTGCCCACCTCTCACATATATGAACATCTCTCATCTGTGTGGGAATCTGTGATTGAAGAAGTCTCCCAGTCGTCACAAGCACGCATGGAGGTAAAGATAGGATCTGTCCAAGTGGTGTTTGATGCAGATCTGTGCATAGTATGGGTGAAGACTAACCAGTGCTATGTTGTTCCCTACTCACTAATATTTGTTTTGCGGACATGTGCTCGTCATGGGCTGCTGTACACATATACTCTACACTTTACAACAACAAATACCCAGGGTACTCTTTAAACATAGAAGTGAGAGAGTGCTTAGATCGTATGAGATTCATGCTAGTTCAACATGTTCAGTTAGCATATAAGCTTTTGAAGATGTGGCCATCCCTCGCTATAGGAGCAATTTTAAGAGACTTAGAGCACTCTGATGAATTTCTAAAAACAATAACTCAAGATCTTCCTTTCTCTTTAAAGGCAACTGACTTTTACAAGCATGAAGTCAGCACCATAATGGGGCCCACCCACGCCATGATCAGTCTAGACATCATAGGGTTATGGAAAACCATGGGTCACCCGATAGTGGACATGGATGAGACTACCAAGTCCTGGATGAATAAAGGACTCGTTATGAAACAGGACCTAGGAGAAGCTGCAGAGGACATCTGTAACATGTTTAAGAAGGAGTTTTGCAGACAGTTTTATAAGAGCCATAACAAATGGCCTGCCGTATCACTAGGTTTCAAACTAAATCCTCACATCCGAACGTGTATACTAGAGAATGAGTGGGGGAGACATCAACTCTAAAATGGGACCCGAAAGAGTTCTCTCACATCAGACTCCTGAAAAACTTCGAGTTCAATCATCATGTCGACACAATAGACATCATCTCCGACAAAGCCATCATACCGCGTGCAACAGAGTGGATCTATGAGTATGACACGAAAGCATTCCGGACGATCCATGGGAGGTTTCCCTCAGGTCCTGCTCCCACCTCAAAGAGCGTGATCATTCACTTTTTAATGAGTGAATCCTTTGACTGCCGTGAGATAATTGGTCTGATCGACAGAGGAATCATTCCTGAAGAGTGGAGGATCATGGTTGCGGTCCCGAAAGAGAGGGAGTTCAAGCATACTGATGCACGGTGTTTTGGTAAGATGACCTTCGAGATGAGGGCATACCAAGTTGTCACCGAGTCTATTACCAAGTATATTAAACACCAGTCCACGACTCTCAGCGAAGAACAGCTTACCAAAACACTGAATAGGATGAGTTGCCCAGGAGGAGACCACGATTACATCAACATTGTGATCGATTTCTCCTCATGGTGCACTCATTTTCGATCTGAACTTGTTGACCCTCTCTTTCGGGCTCTAGACGATCTGTTTGGTTTCTCTAACTTGTACCAGTTTACACACAGATTCCCCTTGATTTCAAAGTTATTGTTTCAGGATAGGTACGCCCCCCCTGACCAGAGTCCCTCTGGTGAACCGATTGAGGGAGCCCGCTGCGTGCTCAGGATCCCATCCAAGCAGTACTTGAGGGAGCGTAATCTAACCCCCGACGAATACACTGTGCAGTTTCTCCAGGTGTTGGAAGAAACATGTACAAAATCTGGTATTGTCATCAAGGTGCGGGAATCTTGGAGATCGCGCAGACTCCTTGAATACGGAAGACGATACTTCCTAGATGGCGTTCAGGTGAGTGGGGCCATTAAGAAAGCAACAAGAATAACAAGCGAGGCCAACCATACTATCCTCACTATCAATGCAATCATCGCTGGTCTCTTTTCCAGCGGAGCCTCGATTGCTGGAGATGATGAAAGCCCCATACCGGCCTATCAATTGACGGTATATGAGGCTGCGAAGACCCTATGTATACCCATACCCACACTATATATACACATACACCACCCAGACCCATAGTTATACCACATTCCTGCACTACCTGCAGGAAGGTGGAGATCGCTTCACGTTGTATATAGATTAATTGTGCGCGTACACCTATCAAGTAGAAGATGAATAGAAATTGGATGTGTTTAACGATTCTTAGTAGAGCTTACTGTCAGAGTTTGTGACATTTTATAATTTTTTCGAAGTAGCTCCTAAGATTTGTTACTTTGTTTTTTGTTTGGTTGTTGTGTTTTTTTTTTTTGTTTTGTTTTTCTTGTGTTTATTATTGTGCTTGGTCGCTGATAACTCACCATCATCATCGGAATGCGGTTAATTTGCAGCGGGAGTTTAGGAATTTGTCTGGCCGACGCACTATTCGGAGCGTCACTCTTGGGAACATACTTTGTGGTAGATTGAAGGCCACCATACCGCAGCCGATGATGGGTGACTTACCACCCGACCACGTCGAGTTCATCCGACCATCCGCTGGAGTCGGAACCGACTTTGCTGGCCCCCCTCCTCGTCAAGCCCTCCGACCTACGCCACGCGCGTTCACATCGGGCCTATCTGTGCTTTTCGTATGCCTCGCCACTAGGGCCGTTCGCTTGAAACTTGCAAGCGCCTTCTGCACTGAAGTCTTATGGCCACGCTGGGTCGCTTCTTATCGCGTCGCGGTTTGCCAGACCGGATCCGGTCGGATTGCGGAACGAATTGTAGGGGCACGGATAGATATTTGAAGGAGGTCGTCGAATTTCTGTTCAGAAACAGGACTTATTTAGGTACTGCGATATCCAAGAAGGGCATCCAAGGGAAATTCGACTCTCCGGCTTGCCCACGCTAGGGCGGTGATTTGAGTCGGTGGTTGGGGTTGCAAGAGCGCATCTCCTTCGCGCTAGTGGCCGAGATTTTGGTTGGAGATTCGGTCTTGCAACGTGCCGTCGCGGCCCTATCCCGATTGCCAATTTACTTCCGGACATAGGTCATTATGTCCGGGACGGGGGTTTGTTTACGCATGATTGTACAAGTTGTGTCATTTGAAGCTTGCCAGACTCGCGTCTCGAGCGGGGTGAGAAAACGGTTGGCGTTGCGCAGGAGGCGCCCCAGTCGGCAGGAACTTTGGAGGGCTACAGCCGTGCCGGTTAAACGTCGGGCGTTAATAATAGTTGCATTGAACGTCGCGAGCCTCTTACTCTGTTATCTTAATTGGTTTTCGTGATAACGAGGCCGGAATAATATAATTACTGTTGTAACCGTTTAAGTATTGTTTGTGACTGGTATACGGTTGCGGGCGGCCGGTGTTTTGATTGAAGGCCTAAAATGTAAGTTAATTGTGCGCGCCATTTTGAATTTACTATTGAATATTTGGGTCTAGTCTAGACCGCCGTTTTGAACGTGTTACATGACAAGAGGCCTAATTTTAGTTTAGAGTGATTAAAGAAACTTTTATGCCGTTAATTGCAACCACGAGTTATTAGTGCGTTGTTTGATAGCGTGATAAGACTTTTACTTTATCGAGAGAACGCCTTGTGGTAGACCCTACACTTCTGGAATTCGGTTAGTTTTGTGTTACGCAACTCTAACCTTTATAATTTAATTATTCATAGGTCATTGGACTCTCCCATTTGTTACTCGTCGAATTGGGCTACTGTGGGCCCTAGCTCAATCGACCTTGTCGGGGTAACTCAGGGCCGTAACAGAATCTTTACCCGACAATTAATCTCATTCAATTCTTCCTCAACTTATTATTTTTATACTTATTAACAACTTCCGTCTCAACATTATTCTCTTCCTCAGAATCGCTGAGGAACAGAATAATGTTGAGACGGAAGTACATGTCCCTTCTGAGGAAAGTGAGGAAGAAGCTTAAGACTCTTCGGGGGACGAATTGTTAGTTTCACGTCGCGGGCGTAATCGAAGGTCAGTGTTAAATTCCGATGATGATACTATAAACACGGATCAATACTCAAACATAAGTACCGCAATTACATCCGACAGTTATTCAGCCGAGCCAGCGTAACTTGTACGGTAAGAACCGACACAGATGGTCAACAAATCCTCGTGACCCGCGCACACGTACAAGTAGTCGTAATGTGATACATATCGTACCTGGTCCTTCTGGATTGGCTAGAGGTCTCGGAGCCAAGGGAACTATTTCAGCTTTTTGTGACGGAAGAAATGATCGATGCCTTCGTGCAATTTACAAACGCAGATATTGATATAAAGAATAATAAGTACAAACTTTCAAAATTCACTACTTCTCAGACGTCGGCTAATGAAATCAAGGCTTTACTGGGTCTACTTATTCAATCTGCTGCCCTGAAAAGTAACCATTTGCCAACTCGGATGTTATTTGACACAAAAAGAAGCGCAAACACCTATAAGAGCTGCATGAGTGCTGAAAGGTTTGTATTTTTACTAAGATGCTTGAGATTTGACGATAAAAACACAAGGAAACAAAGAAGGGTATCTGACAAACTGGCTCCCATTAGAGATTTCTGAAAAAAATTTATAGATAACTGTCAGCAATGGTACAAGCTAGGTTCACACATTACGATAGATTAACAACTTCTTTGTTTTATAGGACGCTACCCTTTCAGGATGTACATCCCCAATAAACCGAACAAATATGGTTTGAAACTGGTTATGATGGCGGATTGTAATACGAAATATATGTGCAACGCTATACCCTATCTAGAAAAAAATACTAACACCGGTAACGAACGATTGGCTAGTTATTTTGTAAAAGAGATAGCTAAACCCATATATGCATCAAATCAGAATATCACAATGGACAACTGGTTTACGTCAGTTACCCTGGCCACAAAATTGCTAAAACCGCCTTATAAGCTGACAGTCGTGGGTACACTGCGAAGCAATAAACGTGAGATCCCGAAAGAAATGCAGAACAACAAAAATAGACCAGTAGGCACTTAGATGTTCGGCTTTGACAGAGATATGACTTTAGTCTCATACAAACCAAAATCAAATAAAGTCGTATACATTCTATCTACGACTCATGGCCAACCTGCTATTAGCAACGGCTCCAAAAAACCGGAAATTATTGAATTTTACAATTAAACTAAAAATAAGGTTAGTGAGCTAAGGTTAAGTGAATGGACTAGGAAAGAGAACAGATATACTAAAGACAGAAAACACATGAAATCTGTTAAAAATGTGAAATAAACCAAAGCTGTAGAAATAGAACATTTAATAAAAGAGTTTGAAAAAGAGCTGATTCTACTGAAAAAGCATGTATACAGGGTATTTGAAAGGTCGATGCAAAGCGGTAAAGCGGAGCTAGTATAGGCTATTTAGAACCATTTGAACCCAACTTGTCTCTTAGACGAAGTGCGGCTATTTTATTTTTATCAAGCTTTAATGATTTTTAATGACAAAACCCAAAATTTTGGATTTAGTTGTAAATTGTGGCCAGTTTGAAAGACAAATCATTTTCTTTTTATTTTATTTTATTAAAGTAATGTGTAAACAGTCTTATGTAATATGGTTCAGGCATCTGTGTCATGAGATAAGTTTTTTTACAGATATTTGAAGTCAACAAAAGTTTTTAAAATTTATTTAAAGATTGAGGAAAGCTGTTATTTGACGGCATTAAAAAAATACGGATGGTGTTTGTAGTGTATAGACAATCGTCTAATGAGTCATCGCTACTAGTGTATAAATACCCCCCGCTTTGGGAACATCGGGCAGTTGCATTGTAACCGGCGAGCAGACAACATCTCTGTTAACACGTATAACCGTTAGGTGTGTACCGTGTAAAGTGTGTTAGTGACATTGTGTAATAAGTGATACAGTGTAAATTGTACAAAACAAAGCAACGTATTGTATATTGGCGACGAGGAAAAAATTACTGTAAGTGATTACAAATGTTTTTAAATAAACTGGAAAAGTTTTATGTAAGGATTTGATGTATTCTCTTTTAAAAGATAGGTTATAATGCGGAGCCTAAAGTTGGGGACAATTAGCAATAGCAGTTTAATTGTTTATGCCGTGATTTATCTTTGTTAAAATCAAATAGACACCCTAATGAGATGGTCCAGGAGCAATGGACACTTATTGGTGATGGTCCAAGATTTACTAAAGTAAAGGTCCAGTCATGGACATGCTTTAGGTCCCAGAAAACGGTTTAAATTATTAAAGGCTAAGTTGTCGTAATTTATCTTTGTTAAAATCAAATGGACACCCAATGAGACGGTCCAGGAGCATGGACACTTATTGGTGACGGTCCAAGTTTTACTAAAGCGAAGGTCCAGTCATGGACATGCTTTAGGTACCAGAAAAATGGTTTAAATTATTAAAGGCTGAATTGTCGTGATTTATCTTTGTTAAAATCAAATGGACACCCAATGAGACGGTCCAAGTTTTACTAAAGCGAAGGTCCAGTCATGGACATGCTTTAGGTACCAGAAAATGGTTTAAATTATTAAAGGCTGAATCGTGATTTATCTTTGTTAAAATCAAATGGACACCCAATGAGACGGTGCAGATGCTTAGCAGTTGCTAAACTTTTGACATCATAAAAATTGGCATGGGTCAGTTCATATACTTCATAGGGTATCCCAGTCTTCTTCGCACTTCGTATTATCTGTGTGTATTGATCAGGTGTATAGATCGCACCAGATTTGAGGCTTCTTTGAATTTGACGCTCAATAACAGAGTGAACACTATCGCCCTCATTTTGTGTGTGACCCTTTATGAGGAATTTATGACAAATTGAATTTAAAAAATCATAACCTCTAAACAGTGTGACTAATGTTTCCGCCATTTTGCGTATCTGTGATGCCGACCGTCGGCAAGCGCACAGACAGGGATATTATAAGCATATGTTTTTTTTAAAGTTGGATTTCCTCGATTTTTTTAAAGGAATGCTGTACGCTTACAATTAAAATATTGGTTTTAATTACCTATTTTGTATATATCTTTACATATTTAGCATATTGGTAGTTATTTGCCATAGAAACATTACTACTTAATATGGGGTACAGAAAATTTTATTGTATTTCTTGATAATTTGTATAAAATAAAACAATAATTAAACTGAAACTAATTTTAATTAACACATTACATATCTAAGTTTACAATACAAACCAAAATTAACAAGGTCCTATACATTTTTTTCACACAACACATGTTTACAAAGTTGACACAAAAAATACTTCCACTTAAAGTAAACAAAAAAAGGGTCTCACATTTCTTGTTATCTAAAATGACCCTGAGCGAATGGGACAAAGACCTTTTGTTTGCAGCAACTTAAGCTTATAAGCTACAAATATAAATAAAAGAATCATGTTACATTCAATATAAATTTGAGTATGAGTGGAACAAAGATGGTATGTAATTTGACACCAAAATTAGTACCTCTAAAAACATGTCTATTTTGGATAATATCTACTTACAAATGGAAAAGAAATTATTGTTTCAAGATATACATTAAATTTAGTAATCAATTAAACAAAAAAAAAAAACAAGTTGTTTCTAAGAAATATTTCAAACATCAAGCTCATGAAAGTAGTAAATATCTAAACATTTTAGCCTCATACATGCTAGCAAAGTGTGGATACGACTTGTCTTCAACAAGATAATGACTAGGTGATTTTTGTAACCCTCATTATTTTGAAACATTATAGTAAACATAACGGGTCTAATAATGACAATCACTTGGGATATACTTAATATGACATAATTTTTAAATCATGCTTTGTTCACGAATCACAGCAAGAGGTAAAATGAACCGGCGGCTTGTAGGTTGAAGGTGAAGGTTTAGGCAGCATGTTGATACCCAAGCATGGTTGGTCATAATTTACCATTGTTCGATATGTACAAATATGTACAATATACACATAATATATGTATATATATGTACATGGCTACCGATCATGGACATATATATACATATGTTACAAAATGCCAAGGAAACGTACTGAAAATTAGGTTGAGCAACCCCCCCCCTTCATTGCGTCCCTAATTTTCGTACGATCCCTTATCAGTATAATGACGTTTGCAATTTGAATGAATGACACGGACCTAGGTTCCAACAATTTTATGATGAGCCAAAATTTCAAAAGACAAACATACATATTATAACTCGTTAGAAACAAATTTATCACAAAAACATAACCCTCTATCTGAGGCACTACATACATACATACGCACATACATACATACGCACATACATACATACATATACAAACTATAGTATATAAATGTGCAGCTTTTTGTTTTCCAAATTTCCCATTACGATTTGGATGGTAACACCTACCTACTTTAACCTTCCCATTAAAATAGCGGCATACCCTTTTTACTGAAAAGGAGGCATTCCATCTTAGTCCTCAGGGGTGACGATGTATCCACTTACCATCAGGTGGACTGTGTGCTCAAGTACAAGTGTTTTTCAGATAGACCTTCAATACTAGTGCCTAAATACCTTGTGTGTAAGACAGTGTTTTTGTGTAGTTTACTGTGAAGTGTGATATGACTCAAAGCAACCAAACACACACAGGGGCACGTTGCAGGCTTTGCAAAAGCTTGATGTTCGCTTTTTGCAAACTGAACAACTACGCCTCTGGTGCTCGTTCCGTGTTGTTCCCGGGAGCAGATCGTATTGCCCCGGAAAATGCCAGGTGTTCGGCAGTGCACGGGTAGGTGCTGGTGGTGTGTGTGCTGCCAACAATTCCCTCACCAAAGTTTGGCGAAAATTTCGGTGAGAAATTGAGCGGTGTGCCTTGTGGAGTATGTAGGCATTTAGAACACTAGCATTCAAGAGCTTCCTGAAAAACTTTTTGTACCAGATTTTGTTCCGCCTTCTTTCAATGGGGTACATGGCGAGCATCTGGTCTTTGCGATCAACCCCCCCCCCCCATACAGACATTATAGTCTGGTATGACGGTGGGCTTGTGTGTATCGCCGCACATCGCGGTTGCTAGCCCATGGTATGTCGAGACAAATGCCACACGGTTTTTGTCCCGGTATACGATGAGGTCCACATCCCCCGAAGTGCAACCGTTCACCTGACCTATCGCCATGTCTTTTTTCGTAAGATTCGTCAGCTCAATGGGAACAAACTGACGATTCGTTCGTAAGGTCCCCACGCAGTCAAACCCCCGAACTTTCAATTCTCGCGCAAGCGCGGGAGAATTGTAGAAATTATCCATCCAAATCGTGTGGCCCTTATGCTCAAGACCATTTAAAAGTCTGAGCACAAGAGCTGGCACTTTCCCAGAAACTGGACTGTCCTCTTGTGGGTCTGAGGAGGTATCATGGCCTGCGTGGACTTCAAAGCGTCACAAGTAACCAGTCTGGGACTCACACACCTCGTATGTTTTAATTCCTACTGTAGCTGCTTTGTTGCGGATGAATTGGTTAATATCTAACCAACCCTTCCACATGGTCAGACTTTCATCCACAGACACGTTTTGACCCAAAACATATAATTGTTGGAATTTGTTGTTAAGGTGATCCAAAATTGGCTGCACCTTAAACAA